TGAGACAAGAGAGGAAAGATCGGGGGAAGGAGAGGACACAGGAGGCGAACAGGAGCAGGGAGAGTAGAAAGGGGTGAAGAAATAGGAGTGGAGGTAGGAGTGAGCACAGTGGTGAGGGCTGAGACGAGAGATGAAAGATTGGGAGGAGGAGAAAGCTCTGGAACAGGAGCGAAAGGGGTAGAGCAGTAGGAGTGGGGGTAGGAGTGAGCTCAGTGGTGAGGGCTGAGACAAGGGAGGAGAAGTCGATAGAGGGAGAAGGGAGGGGATTGGAAATGGGAAGGGGAGAGGAATCTTGGACTGGGATCGGAGGGGCAGCAGAGAGTGGGGAAATCGGGGCGGGAGTGGCAGGAACAGGAGGAGTGGGGGAGGAATCGTTGGTACACCAGGGGACATCGTGGATGATGGCAATGAGGAAACCGGGGCAGAAGGAACAACAGGGAGAGGGGCCAGTGAGGTCTCGGGAGAAATAATGCATGTTGGGGGAGTGGGAACAGGGATTGGAACAATGGGAGGTATGGTAGTGAGCGATAAGGAGGAGGCAGCATCGGGAGGAGGAATAGGGAAGGATAGCGATAGTTATGGGGGGACATCAGTAACGACCTGGGGTAGTGAAGGAGAGGAGACATCAGTAGGAAGAGGAGCAGGAAGTGGGGAGGGAACGGAAATAGCGGGTAATATGACTGATGGGAGAGGGAAAGGATAGTAGTAGGATCCGTCCGCCCCGAGGATGGGGTATAGAGGGGTGGGAGTAGGAGGCCCTTTGGCAACGGGACGTGGAACAATCGTGGGTAGAGATGGGGCAGTGTCTGAGGAGGCGGGACATGGTTCGCTTGTGGAATTCTTGGTGCCATCATAGGGTGGTGGCCGGGGAATAACAGTAGATGAATTATCATCATTGCAAACATTTCTGTGATACACATAAATCGTTTGTCCCCCGAAATCAATTTCCTCCTCTGACCAACCCTCCCGTTTGAGTCCTCTGGCTACACGATACCAAGCCTCTACGGCTTTTGTCAACCCATTATCCAGTAATATACCCTCTTTATCAATGAGAATTTTCTCCAAAACTCTGGCCATAACCTACCACTGGGTGACATTTGGAAACCACAAACCTTCGCTATCTTTTTCATCTTTAACATAGCTTCCTCTCCTGCTCTTTCTTTAACAATATCACAAGCTAAGAGACCCTTTGGGGGTCTAGCATATTCCCGTCCCATTTTTATCAAACTAGAGAGAGGAAAAAGAGAAGGAATGTCTACAGTGCTCGACTGCCAGAGGAATTAATTCCTGTGTATCTTCCCTAAACGTAGACCAGTCACGGGATCCGCCCACCCGAGATGGTGGCCACGGATCTGTGTGGGCGAGCGTGGGTGACTAACACAGTTCTGGGCAACAAGTACAGAAGAGGTAGAGAATTAAGGAGAAAGTGAACGTAGAGAGACTAATCAATAAACATTTGCAAGAATCACTAATACAGAGATGTGCACATAATCCGGAATCGAGTACGAACCACACAACACACACACACGCATTGAGGGTACCCACACTATGGCCACAACTGAACAAGAAACAGAGTATAACAAGGAACAATAAAATGTGAACATAGCAATGGTTAAACAGTAAATAAACTCTGTTCTGCTCTGAACAGTGCAACACAATTCACAGCCTTTCTCTAGGCTGTCCCCAGCCCTGTACCAGGCGGACAACAAAAAACCCCAACCCTTCACCTGGTGGTCAACAAAATCCCAGCCCTTTACCAGGCGGTCGTGTCCCCTGCCCGCTAGGCAGTCAAGCTATAACAGTAAATGCATTCCCTGCCCACTAGGCATTCAAGCTATAACAATAAATGCGTTCCCTGCCCGCTAGGCAGTCATGCTATAACAATAAATGCATTCCCTATCCGCTAGGCAGTCAAGCTATAACAATAAATGCGTTCCCTGCCCGCTAGGCAGTCAAGCTATAACAGTAAATGCATTCCCTGCCCACTAGGCAGTCAAGCTATAACAATAAATGCGTTCCCTGCCCGCTAGGCAGTCAAGCTATAACAATAAATGCGTCATCACACACACACGCGCGCAACTTTAAGGAGGCAGATAGACAATCGACAGGTTCGTTTAAAAAGGCACCAGATAAGAGATTACCTGTCTTGTAGCCTTCTGGAAGCCGGAAGTGGACACGGAGACAGACCGATACAAAACAGGAGAATACAGGCAAACCGCTGTATTAAGAGGTGATCAGGCTCCGGTTGTCCCACTTTCAGGAGGTCCACTCCGATCCCGGTTTCCGGCCGTCCGAACCGGCGAGACCCGTTGCCCCACGTTGGGCGCCAAATGATGTGGAAATCAATCAATTGATTATCTTGTGTATCTGCCCCT